AATGCTTTGATGTTAACAAAAGCACGATTGACTAGATAATTCATGGAAAATATGGCCAACATTTTCGGTGAACATTGGTCAAAGATACTGTGAATTGTAGGAAATTCGTATCAGTAATGATGACAGCGTTTACAGAATTCCATAAAAGAAAATCCCCTGGAAATGTTATCGTTTTTCAGGACAACGCTTCGTGTCATGTTTCACGAGATGTTAGTTAATTTATTTGGTTAAGGAGTTTAGTTCACTTGTTGTTTGCTTTTAAACTTCAGAAAGGATGCCTGACTCTAAGGTCCGGTTCATGAAACTTCTCCTTAATAGCCTGAAAAAAATGTTTTCTGTTTTAAAGAGCGAGGTCAATCTGATACCTTTACATTGGAAATTGGGGGTAAAATTGCATTATGTAATAGAGCACAAAATAGAAAATGATTTCATAACAAAGTCGGTGGATTCGACGCCGAAGAGACCGGAAAAGTCCTAAAGAACAAAGGCTGATCAACTGACTATTTGAGTACACAAACCTTAGATCTTAATTATTATCAATGTGAATTTGTTGTAAATAAAAATTGTTTTATTTTCTTTAATTAGCTCGCAACTCATCATGGTCTAGGTCAACCACTATTGACCAAATGGGAGTATCCGCAATATTCAAGAACCATTCCATCTGCTGAGTATAAACGATCCAGGAAAATCACTACTATAAAGGCTCACCGAGACTTGTTTATTATTAGTTGGAAAAAATTATTGACTTCACTATAAATCTTGTTGCCTGTACGAACCCACAATTATGTTTAAGAGGGGCCCGTTTAATGCAGTTTCGAACAGACTTGTACACGAATATATGTGTCACCAAGTGTGTACAACATATTGGTCTTCCTTGTGGCCCCAATAACGGAGAAGTATCAAACTTGGTCGTTTGATTGATACCTTACTGATATACATATCATGTATCAAAGAACGATCTGATATGCTGCCCAGTGGCCGAATGGATTCCATCCTTGCGCTGTGTCTGTGAGGTCCCAGGTTCGCGATCCCCAGTCGGATCGATGGATTCACGCATTGCTAATGAGACCCAACCAGGTCGAAATAGCTGTCCAGTTGTGCTTCCTAGCTTTGCAGCTCACACTTTAAATGCTCTACACACATACACTAAGAATTCACCTTTGAAATTGAATCAAATACTTCTTTACTCACATGATTGTAAGTTGACCATCGATGCTGATTTAAAAAAATGCATGGTTGATCAGAACTGGTTATGACGCTCGATCGCTCAGGCGGTACAACTGGTACAACTTCTAATTTCAAAAGTGAATTCGTCGCGTATGTAGCAAATGAGGCGTGAACTAAAACGCTAGGAAGCACAACCGGACAGTTGTTTCGACCTGGTTGGGTCTCATCAGCACAGTACGAATCCACTAACCCCTGACTGGGGATCGAACCCAGAACCTCACAGATAGAACGCAAGCACAATACCCACTCGGCCACTCCGGGGGCAGCTGATCAGACCGTTGGTTCATTTTCTATTTACACGACGACATAGCCCAACCCATTTTTTCGAGCCTGTTATGAGTCACAAACCTTGCTCATCTCAACATTGGCTAGCTAGAATGATATGTGAACCACATTTTGGACAATCTGTGCTGTGAATTCGATGTGCCCCCTCCCACCAACCGCCCTCCCACCCCTCAAAAGGGTTTATCAGCATTTTAGTGTATTTCGCTTTCTTAACATCTTCGAATTCTGAGTAGAACGGTGAAAATAATGCGAAGTGGCCACACACACACACGTACACTCAAATTCTGAGGATGTTGGTCCTTCTACTGTTGAATGAAAACAGTATCTTACCGATGTGACCCCACCTATTTCCCCTACACCCGCGGGGATAGATCTTCGCGTATGCAATGTGTGTATCATAGGA